CGCAGGATGGCCGGCCACACGGCGCCGGAGCACCTGTAGGGCGGGGCGGCCGACCGGCCGGCGCTCACGGCGAGGGCCAGGCAGGCAGGCGTCCGGTGCCCGCGGCGAGTTGCGTGCGTGCTGGCGAAGGGAATTGACCAGTTGGCCAGGTGAGATGGGGTGATGCGAGGCGCCGCGGGGAGAGACGGGCCGGGATGGGGGGTAGGGCGCGCGCGGATGGCGAGGCAGCGAGGCGGCCAGGATGGCCCGGGATGGACCGTGGATGGCTGCGGATTGCGGCGTGCGTGCAGCGTGCAGCGTGCGGCGTGCGGGTGGTCGGCCGGCCGGCCCACTTTGTATGGGCGTTGGAGTTGACCAGTTGGCCAAGCGACATGGTGGGGTCACCAAGTATGTTGACTCTGGATGTCTATTCTACGACCAGGGATGGCTCTGTCTAACCCGTGGGCGACATTGAGCGATGGCTCGGGACTGTCCATGTGCGATTTTCCATCACGGATGCCGGTCATCGGCCTCTTGGTGTGATCCGACATAGTCCTGCCGCCGATTATATATTTTCACTCGGGTCAACCAAGTAGCACCACCACTTATGGCCAACGGCTCTGACCCAATCACGTCCCCCCAGTAAGCAACGTCGCTCGATCCATATCACCGATGTGTAGTAGTTTATAGTACAACGATAGAGATAATGTACACTGTAGATGGAGAGATACACAACAAACCAAATCTAATATCTAACCGACCTCGCGTACATGCACCGTAGAGATCCTTGTAGGTCGCCCACCGACAACGCCTCACAGGCAGGTCGTAGGCAGCACGGGCTGGCAAATCCACCGATCAACCTCTCCACATCACCATGCAGCGACGCCTCGGACCGTCAACCGGCGTGGGGGGGCGGCGCGCACAGCCGGGCGCTTGCGTTTTGTGTAGCGCTCACAACTACGGCGGAGGCCCACGTGACTGGCCGGTGGGCGGAGGAGTGGAAGGGCACAGGAGTGGGTGTTGGCGGCGTGGGCGGCCGACAGCGGTTTGCGAGAGTGAGCACAACGGGCGTAACGTCGGAGCGTATGGCCGCGTAACGGGCAGCGAGCGTGGACAGAAATGCCTAAGTCCCCTTGCAGCCCGGGTAGAGGGCATGTGTGGGTGGCCCACTTTGTTTGGGAAAAGCGGCCGACGCACGGACCATCACATACTATATGGGTCCCCCCCGGTTCACTTTCGGACCACAGAACGTTTGCGCGCCGGTTTGTGGGCCAGGGAGGGCCGGTGGTACTATGTGGAAGGTGAAAGGCAGCTGATCTCAGCTGCTGAAGCCCACCCACACTTCTTCCCTGCCAGGCAGGTCACCTCTCCGTGACTGGTGGCGCACAGGTCCTTCGGGGCCTCGCTTCAGGAACGGGGGTGCCCGCCCACCCCGGCCCGTTGGTATTTCTCCCGCGCGGCTGGTGTGTTCTCTGGTCTTAGGTGCTCTGCCCCGCGGCTGCGAGTCGACTGGAGGTCCGGAGTGTCCCTTGCGGACGCGCCCGTGACCCCTGAGATATCGTGTCGCGGGGATCTGTAGCTTGCCAAGTCAGAGGCGCGCCGGCTTAATCATGCCCGGGGGTGCCCGTTGTTGCCGGGGTGTCTGAAGCCCGGGGGCCGTTCTCGGTCCCCGGCACCGATGGAGTCTGTGGATCGTTGGCCGCTGGCCAGCCTTCTTTTACAGATTCCCGGGGGGAGCCGCTCCGCGGGAGCCGCCGTTCGTCGGCGTGTCCGCGGAGTCTGGACCCTCCACCCGAGGGCCGTATGCCGCAGCCTGCCAGCGCCTGCAAAGGCGATTCCTGGCCGGGTCTACCTGCGTGCGGACCGGTTCCTGGGGGGCTACAGTGGGGCAATTGGATGGTCATCTGTGTACTCCCGGTGCGCCGGGGGTGTCGCTGTGGCCGGGCACTTCGTGTGCCCCTTCCAGAGTGAAGCCTACGTTACACGCTGCCTCTTCGGAGGCTTTGGGGTGCGTCTTGCGGTGCATATCTACGGATACGCTCCCGGGCACACCCTGCAGGAACTAGGTATCTGGTTGATTCTGCCAGTAGTCATATGCTTGTCTCAAAGATTAAGCCATGCATGTCTAAGTATAAGCACTTTATACTGTGAAACTGCGAATGGCTCATTAAATCAGTTATCGTTTATTTGATAGTACCTTACTACATGGATACCTGTGGTAATTCTAGAGCTAATACATGCTGAAAACCTCGACTTCGGAAGGGGTGTATTTATTAGATAAAAAACCAATGCCCTTCGGGGCACCTTGGTGAATCATAATAACTTAACGAATCGCATGGCCTTGCGCCGGCGATGGTTCATTCAAATTTCTGCCCTATCAACTTTCGATGGTAGGATAGTGGCCTACCATGGTGGCAACGGGTAACGGGGAATTAGGGTTCGATTCCGGAGAGGGAGCCTGAGAAACGGCTACCACATCCAAGGAAGGCAGCAGGCGCGCAAATTACCCAATCCCGACATG